CCAGGATAATTCAGGAGGGAAAGAAACACACAGACACACTTAATTGTCGATTCCAAGGAAAGTATGGGAAAATATGGGAAGTGGGGGGGAAGACGAAAACCCAGAAAATATGGGAAAATATGGGGAATAGTTTTATTTGTGTGTATTTATTTGTGTGTCCCAGCGTGCAGCATTCGAGAAATGGTGGACAGCCCCGCGAGCTTGTGCGCCACGGGGCAGGATCGGCAGGATGCCGAGCCAGACTTTTATCTTTTGTGGATGATCTCACTGTCTCTCTCTCTTTGTTCGCGTTGCTCCCCCCGTGCCCCGTGGCTCTCTCGCGCTTCGTTGATCCCGCATGCACTGCAGCGCTCTCCGTCGGCTTTTGTGCCCCCACCTCGCCAAGACCAAGCTGCTCCTTGCGCTGCGTGCGGCGGGGGCGCGGGGCGCGCCCGGCCTCTCGGATCGCGCGCTTGAAACCGTGGTTTCCAGGAAGTGGCTCGGCATTGCTCGGACGAGTGCACTTTTCCTCCGGCGAGGACCATCGAGGAGCATCCTTGATCATTTGGCGAAAAAACCACGCACGAAACCGAAAAAAGCACACGGAATGGACGTCCGAGCGATGGCGAGGTGGGGGTTTTCGTTTCCAGCGGCGCAGGTTCACCACATACTGGGTGCACAGGTCGCCGCCCACGGCTCTATGGCCCCCGAGGCTGCCTCGAGCATATCCACGTGCAGAGGTGCACCGAGGCCCATCGTGGCCGCGGTTGCCCCGCGTCTGGCCCCTTTTCGTTGCGGGCCAGAGCGCTCATTGCTGCAGCCTGGGGGGCTTCCGCTTTGTCTTGATGCCGTGGGGGTGCTGCCTGGGCTCACTGCTGCTCAGGCCAGACGCACGTGCACGACGCGCGTGGCGGTATACAGGAGCGCTCTCAATCTGCCAGGCACCAGCAACGCAGCTTCGCGCGAACGGAGCGCCAGCGCCCTCGCGCAGGTCGACCGTCTCCCGCACGATGCGGTCATGGCCATCGCTAAATTGCGATCTCAGAAGGCTGATAATCTGTGCGCCCCCCCCTGGTACGAGTGCTTGCGGATGTTATGTGGCACAGAGACTTTGCGTGGGCTCAGCTTCTGGATGGGGACTACGCTCGGCTCGTTTTCACACGGAACCGAACAGAGACCCGAAGATCCGCCTTTTCCTGGACTCTTCAGGTTTGTGAGAGCCCATTCCAATGCCTACAAGGCTTTGCTACATGATCATTGAAGCTAAGCGCGCATCTCGGGATGCACTGCTGCGCAACATTCGGGAGGGGAGCTTTGAGGCTGTCGCGGCGGGGACACCCTTTGAGAAGTCCCATGTTCTTATGCTGGCTGTCCGTTGTCCTGACTGCGCTTTTGAGGCGCAGTCTGAGCACCTGTGAAGGACCCACCAGGGCAAGACGCATCAACTCCCAGAGGCTCCCTGTAGACTTCGTGTTGGCTCCCTGTGTCGAACGTGCATCCGGGGCTTCTGCAAGCAATCCCAGGCTGGCTCAACACATGGGGAATGCTCCGAGCTGCAGGGTCTGCCGGGCCAGATCAGGCTTCCTCCCGAGTCAGGATGAGCTCGAACAGGCTCGCGGTGAATGCAGAGAGGTGGCGGCGCTGCGCCGAGCGAAGGCTCGACCAGGCAATTGCGCCGAGCATCCTCCGATACCATGCGCAGGGCCGACGAGTGGCACCAGGCGACACTGTTCGCGCAAGAAGACTCGATAATAAGCAGGGCGCGCTGAAGGGGCTCCTGCCCCTCCGCCCCCCCTCGCCTGCTGACTTTCGCCCCCGCCCAGTGCCGCTTCGCCCTGCCATGTGCGTGCTGCACCTGTTCCCCGGACGCAGGCGGGAAGTGGACTCACAATGGCACTTTGATGCGTTGCTCGATTCCTCCCCCTCTAACTTAGTGGTGCTTGGTGTTGGTGTTGCCTGCCATCCTGCTCTTGGGGGTCGAACCGTGGATAGCACGGTTTGGCTCTGGATCTTACCGCTTCGCTCAGGGCGCGCGGCGGCTATCCTTCCAGGACCACCATGTGAGACACGGTCAGCTACAAGGCGCTTGCCCGTTCCAGTTGACGTTCCTGGGGGTGCCCGCCCACCTAGGACCTTCAGGGCCCACGGCGCCATGCGGGGGCATGGCCATGTCTTTCTCAGGGATTCCAACTCGCTGGCCCTCGTCAGTGCCTTGTTGCGGACACTGCGGCAAGGTTTCTGCATGACGCGTGGATAAACGGAATGCCAGCCTTGATGGAACACCCCTTTGCCAATCCCAGGGTCCCCGAGGCACCGAGTCCTTGGCATCGTTCCCAAACCCGTTGCCTTTGTGATCTCCGTGGGGCCCGCGTATTACACATCAACCAGTGTATGCTCGGGCCTTATAGCCTTCAGCCAACGACACTATTGGCAGTCCATCTCGGTTCCATGAGCACTATACAGGCTGTCAAACTTGGGGGAGGGCTCTACACTCGCTCGAGGTTCTGCAGGAGCCTCGCCAGGGGGTGAGGTCGGATGGGCTTCAGCGGGCTTCGCTTGCCAAGACCTTTCCTTCTGGTTTTTGCCGTTTCGTGACAGCCCGTATTCTGCGAGAGACCAGGGTGTGGTTCCCTCTGGCGTGCCGCGGTTCTCTTCTGCCTAGAAGTGCCCCCGCCGACACGTTTTGGCCACCGCTTCGCTGGTGCCAGACTGATGAGATCAGCCTGCGGGGCATGATTCAATTAAGACCGACTGCGGTCGGTTGGGAACTACTTCTGGGCTGAGGAAGGTTGCGGCACCATGGGGTCCCTACCTTGTGGCTGGCTTGGCCATGGATTGCATGTTGGACCGACTCAGCCCGCGCCCACAGAGATTCCATAACTACGACGGTTTGCTTCCTCTCCCTCTCTCGACCTTTCATGGGTTGAATTGCAGAACCGTCAGCTGGCGCTGCACGCGATGGGCTTGGGGAGGAAGGGGATGCCAGGGTAAAGACCCGATCCTCGCTTGGTTGCGCCGTCCGTAAGGCAGTGCCTCCCAAGTAGAGCCAGGGGCTCACAGGGGTCTGGCTGCCCCTTTGGGGGAGTAGCGTGCGGTGCCCAGGGGGAGGGTCGATTCTTCTCCTACCCTGGCATTTCCTTCCTTATTCTTTCTCCAAGTGCCCACCTACTTTAAGAGATAGTACCCCGTGCCCGCCCACTACCAGAGCGGGCCTGCGCCCATGGCGCTCGAGGCGGTGGTGCCCACCCGGCTGCTGCCTCTGCCCCGCCTTGTTCTTCACCCTGTTGTCGACCGACCGAGGAGGAGGAGGAGGAGAAGGAAAAGGAGAAGGAGGAGGGTGGAGGAAGAGGAGGAGGCGGAGAATGAGGAGGACGAGGAGGAAGAGGAGGCGGAGGAGGAGGAGGATGAGGAGGAGGCGTAGGAGGAGGAGGGAGGAGGAACCTTTTGGAACCTTTTTGCCAGAGGTTCCTTCAGGCGAGTCCCGGGGCCACGAGCAGACACCCCAACAGCGGAGCACCGCCACCCCGCACTGAGCACCGAGGCCCCCAGTACGGCATGGCCACACTCCGATGATACAGGGCGCACCTCCGCAACGGCGGGAATACTGCTTTCCTCCCCCGCAGTCCTTTCCAGCAGGCAGGCGGCAGGCGCACCGCTTCGCTCGCGCGCGGGCCGCGGACGCGACGGGCCTGCCTCAACCCTGAAGGCACCCGACTGCAGGCATCCGGGTACCGACGACCTGGAGCCCGTCATGCTTTTCAACATCGTCGGCATTTTCACGACCCAATCGTATTCCCCACTGCAGTGCGCCGCCAAATACGGAGCACGACATGGAGAGCGATCATTTGCTGCAGCTCGAGGATCTTCATCGTCGACTCCTGCTTCCTGACTTGTGCACGTTCCCAACGGCGCATCGGCACATTCCGCCACAATCCACGCTCCTGGAGATCGTCGCTCCTGACGACCTGCCCCGCCGATTCATCCGTCATCTTCTCCTGCATCTGTTCCTCGCCGAGCGTCCCGTCGACACCCGCGTCACAGACGTCGGACCCATCGCTCTCCGTGGTGCCGTCGGCGATCTCTTCAAGCAGCTCATCTGAGCCATCCGCGACCTTGACCTTCATGCCGACGCCCTCGGATGCGTACTCGACCACCTGGGACTCCACAGCCAGCATGTGCACGTCGTCGATGTCGTCGGCCCACCGCGTAGCCAGGACGCCGATGCTGTGGATCCCGAGGGCCTGGAGGGAGCTGCCCTCCAAAGCACCGGCACGACCCAGCACTCCGTCACCTCCAGCTTCGCGGCAAGCATGGCCACCTTGAGCACGCCCTGCTTCGCGACCATTTCCATGTCCGGGAAGGCTATCTTCAACGCACTCACCAGCGTCGTGACCAGCTTCACGAGCTGTTGGGTCAGCGGCCCGATCAGCGTCAGCATCGGCACGCCCGTTCCCACCGCCAGCTTCGCACGCTTCATCACGCCCATCTTCGCGACCAGCTTCACGAGCAGCGTGGTTTGCTGCACGACCAGCGGCAAGGAAAGGGAAGGGCGGGACCCGCGGGCAGCGCCGCCACGTCGAGCGCCTCCTCGATCTCGCTCCACAGCGGCACGCCCGAGCTCTGCTCGGCCTTCACGGCGTCCGCATTTTCGATCTTCACCTGCCCAGCCTGAATCTCGCAACCGATGTTGGCCAACTCGAACGCGAAGTCGAGTTGCTTCTGCGCCTCGTCGCGCTCGCCCTCACCAGTGGAGAACCCAGCCGCCCGCGGAACCAGGCACCGCGGGAACCCTTCGATGACCACCTCCTCGTCAGCCACGCCGGAGTGCACGTGGTCCATCTCCGCGACGCTCTCGTCGACGACCTCCGGCAGCGCACCCCCTGCCTGGCCTTGGCAGCGCCGCCTGCCGCTCCCCCACCGCGCCGCGCAGGGGGCGCCGGCCGAGGCTGCCTCTCCCCGGAGCCGCGCGCGGCACCGTTGGCGCCCAGGCGCTCGCAGCGCGAGCGCGCCTCGGCCGGCCCATGGCTGGCACGCCGAGCATCGCCGCGGCGCCTCCGCCCCGGCCCCGCCTGGGCGCCCGCCGCGCCCTCCTGCGGAAGGTCTCGAGCCCAGGCGGCGGGGCTCCCACCCCCCCTCAGAGCCCCATCGGGCTCCGAGGAGAGCTCGAGCCAAGATGGCTACGGAGGAGGAATGAGGAGGAGGAGGCATGAGGAGGAGGAGGCGGAGGAGGAGGAGGGGGAGGAGGAGGAGGAGGAGGAGGAGGAGGAGGAGGAGGAGGAGGAGGAGGAGCAGGAGGAGGAGGAGGCGGAGGAGGCGGAGGAGGAGGAGGCGGAGGAGGAGGAGGAGGAGGCGGAGGAGGAGGAGGCGGAGAAGGAGGAGCCTTCCTTACAACAGGCCCGGCCTCTCGTCCTGAGCCATCTCTCGACGGCCCCGAGCCCCAGCAACGGGCCCCTGGAGGCCAGAAGTCTCGGGCCGAACGAAAGGGGGGGATGGGGAAAGGGGGGGGTACGAGATCTGCTGCACGCAGCTGGTTTCGGCCCCACCGAGGGGCCCATTCCTCGAGGCACGGCCGCCTCCGGGGCCGGGCGGCGCCACCGAAATCAGCTACGTGAGAGCTGCTTCTCACCCCCCCCCCCTTGCTACCCCCCCCTTGTCGCTCGGCCCGAAGGTCGGGGGGGTCTGGCCCGTGCGCTCCGCCCACGAGGTGGCCCGAGGGCTTCTGCCTCTGCGACCGGGCGGTCCTCGAGGCCGAGGTGGCCGTGGGTACCGACGCCCGGCTGACGGGGCCGTGGAGGATCGGCGTGCTCTTCTGCAGCAGGGCTCACAGCCAAGACGCTGAAATAAGGGACCGTTCGGCTTGGGAAGGGGCTCGACGTTCCTTACATGTAGTAGGTCCGTCCATGGCTATTTCTCCAGCGTTCCTCGTCCACGCAGGCGGGTGTGGGGTCAAAGAAGGGGCTTCGTTCCTTATTTGGCATTCCTTCTTTCAGCAGCCCGACTGTAAGTCGGGCGCGTCCCTTTACAGGAGGAAGATTCCAGAGCAGTAAGAAATTACTCTGGGGACGATGTTCCGTTTTTTTCTTGTTGGTTTTGTGGTTATGTTTGACAATGTGCTGATCATTGTTATTCTTCTTCCAAAATCCGCCTGTAGGAGGACATGCCCGACCTAAAGCAGAGGATTTCTAGGCCTCCCAGATGGGGTCCGAGTAGATGGGGTCGGAGGATCGCGCCGCATCGCCGATGCACCGGCGATACGGCTCGATGTGGGGCGTGGATTTGCTTCACGTCGACGATGCGGCTCGATGTGGAGCCCGATTTGCTTTACGCGGACGTCGCCGACGCATCGCTGGCGACGCCGACGCACCGCCGACGTCGCCAATGCATCGGCGATGCATCGGGGATGCGGCGCGATCCTCCGACCACATCTACGCGGACCCCATCAAGGAGGCCTCTAGGATCGGCGTACTCTTCTTCAGCAAGGCGCTCGGCCGCACGGTGGAGCCGGCGAGAGGTTTGGCCTCCACGTCGGTTGTACGAAAAGGTGGCCCTCGGCCACGCGCAGAGGGGGGCAGGAGGGGAGGGAGAAGGCTTCTTCGGAGCACCCCTGCTTCTTCGACGGCGCGGGCCTTGCCTACCCAGACATGCGATGTCTTGAGTTCATCAATGCGCGGCCCCTAGGAGTCCCGACCCGTTCCCCAGCGCCGGTTTGTCAACATGTGTCGTTTTTTGACGGCCCCGGCGCCCGGCGAGGGCTTCCAGGGGTCGAGCATGGCCAAGAACCTCCCGTCCTGATTTTTGTTACGACGCGATCATGTCTGGGTATAGATGCAAGGCTGGTGCCTTCTAAGGAGCAGCCTTTTTCTGAGAGCCGTCCCCCCTCCAGAGCACCCCTGTGCGCGCCGCGAAGAGCCTTCGCCAGAGTGGCCCTTGGTTCATCGAGAGTAAAAGAAACCCGAACACGAATAACACAGTGAAGAAGTGGCCTCACTCAGGTCCCCGCCTTGGCATTCGTGATGATAATTCTGGGCGGCCTGGTTCGATACTTCTGCAGAACAGAGCGCCTATCCCTAATGCTTTTGGTCCTCCTAACTTAGGTCCCCTCCCAAAGGGTCAGGGGTCCTTGTCCGGTTGCTCATTGTCGGAAACTGGAACATATACATTACCACTGGCGGGCTGCTTTTCAATCCTAGGACTTTTTGAGGGTCGGGGACGACGCTGGGGTGGTGTGGTGTATGCTTTTTTTCCCCGATGTTCCGGGGAAACAACGAAGCATGTATACACCAGGGTCCCGTGTGCACCAGGATCCGCTCCCCAGTGCAAATTTCAATGCAGAGCCAGAAAAAGCGTCGGTGTATAGAGTTCGATTCCCTACATTGGTGCGCGGCGCTCGGGGGGCGGGTGCGGGGTCGAGCCCAAGCACGCAGCAGGCAGCCGCGGGCGCACCGCACGCGGCGGCCAGCAGGTCCTTCCTGCCCAGGGCTCAGCCTCGCTCGGACGTGTGCATATTTGTTCTCGGCGAGGGCCATCGAGGAGCATCGCGGATCACGCGTCGAAAAAACAAGCGCACGAGGCCGAAGCATGCAGCGGGACGGGGCGTCCGAAGGATCCTGGGGAGGCTCGTCCCAGGGCAGTTGTGTCCCTCGACCTGGCTCGAGGGATGCAGCAGAAAGAGGGGCTCTAGGGCTTCAGTCCTGATTTGGTTGCCATTGGGGAGCCACGTGCGAACCCTACCCCTACCCCCCACGATTTCTGAGGGGGAGGGTGTGGTTCACTTCGTTCGGGGGCTCCCGAACGAAATGAACCCCAGCCTCCCCCTCGGAAGTCGTGGGGGTTAGGGGTAGGGTTCGGCCCCCTAGCCATGTCGAAGTGGCAACGGAAGGTTATTATTGGGAAGGCCTTGCGGCCCGCGCCGCCGGCCTCGAAGTGTTAACGGCGATGCCGGCGGCGTCGGCGGCGACGGCGACGCTGGCGTGGGGCAGAGTCCTCAGGGATGCCTCGTGGGGCCTCGTCGGAGCGCGCTCGTGGGCCTCTGGGGGGGCAGTGTGGGCGCCTCTGGGGAGCATCTTGGGGGCCTCGAAGGTTGGTTGTGATCTTCAGCCCCTGGGTGCCCTTCCCGGGCCCCGGGACTGTCAAGGAGCGCTTCCGCACGAAGGATGAATCCCTGGGCAGGGGGCCAGACCTCTGGGGGCCCACGCTGTGCGAAATTCATGGCGTCGGGGGTCAGAGGAGGAATAGGTACCCATGTCGCTACCCTCGCCCCGTTTTCGTCTTTTTGGGCCTCCTGGGAGGACCTCGTCGCCACCGCTGGATTCGCTTCGAAGTCGTGGTCATGACGCACCCTGAGAGAGGCCCGGGGAGAGGCAGTATCGGTACCGTTTGGTTTCCCCAGGGGTTTGGGGTTCTATGGTAGGCTCGTGCCGTGCCGACGCGGCGGCGACTCCGCCGCGGGCGTTCATGGTTCAACGCCGCCAGAGGCCCAGAATCGGCCAATACGGAACGATCTGGCGATCGAAACGCCGCCGATCGTTCGAGGCTGCACAATCCACGCGGTGTCAGAAACCATCGCCGAAGTCGCCACGACACGAACCCGCCGTACGCAGGCGGGGCGCGTCTAAGAGGGCAGAGGCCTCAGGAAAAAGGCTCGGAGGCTTCCTAAGAAGGCTTCTTGGAGGCCAGGAGGGCTTCCCAGAGGCCCCCTGGAAGGCCTCCCCCCTCTTCAGAAGGCCGCTCCAATTTGCGCCCGCCCTCCTGTGCGCTCCGCCGGGAGGTGCGGACAACAAGCCGGTTCCGAAGAGCGCGTCGATGCCGCCCCTGGCGATAAACATGTGCGTCCGGGATGATCCCGAGGAGGTCCTCATGGGCAACCTGGGGGAGGGTGGCTCAGGGGATAAGTGCACGGACCCCCAGTCGCCCACTCATCGTCGAGGGGGGCCCGATGGCCCGCCCCCGCCCAGCAGCGTCCGGATTCGCAGCATCGGGGGCCCGTCGCCGCAGGACGAACCCCAATAATGGATATTGACCTGGGTTTATAATGTTCCGGGAGTCTTGACCAGGGTTCATGAGGTCTCCCCCGGACCATTGTGAACCTGGGTTTTAATGTTCTGGGAGCATTGGTTGGGGTTCATAATGTTCTCCCCGGAACATTATAAACCCTGGTTTATATCTTTCTGGGGATATTGACCCCACAAATATGTGACCCTGGGTTTATAGTGTTCCGGGATTATTGACCCCGGTTCATAATGTCCAGGGAATCATGAACCCGGTTTTTGTAATTCTGTAATGATAATATCTATTATTTTCTCCCCAACGCCGGGGTCCTCACCAGGCTTATCATGTCGGAATATTGACACCGGTTCATTATATCCAGAAGATAATAAACCTGGGTTGATAATGCTCCAGACATATTGACGAATAATAATGATTCGCCCTGGGGGTGCCGTTGGAGAGTAATGACCGGACTGAAAGAAACCCTGGCTCATAATGTTGGAACAACAATCTTCGGTTGATTATTCCAGAAAGATAATGATTCAGCCGGGGGGGGGCTCAGCTTGACCCGTACACAGAACAATGAACCATAGGGCATCACCTAAACAGAACGAGCCTGAGGTTATCATTCCTTGATCATGAACCACGGTCGACGAGGATTTCGCAGGTAGCCTCCGTCGCCGATCTATCGGCGATGTGATCGGTGATGATAATGAGGTTACATTGACGTGTATTTGCTTTGATGGAATTAAGGTGTTGATGTAGTGAGATGCTTATGTGGCCCAGTGGGGCTCCCTCCTATTCCCAAGACGTGTATTGACGCAGCGCCTCCCCGACCTCTAAGCTTACAGTTACGCGTTGCACCCCCCCTGGGGATTTGGGGGATACCCCTGCGTAATTACAGCGACTTATTCCTATCCTGGAGCCTTACCAGATGTGTCCCCCATTCCAGCGCGAGGCCTCCTCCCCTGGGCAGGCTCCCACCCGGCTCGGGCCACAGCTCCGCGCTCGCCGCGGCCGCGCGGCACGCTCCCGGGCACCCCGGGAGCGCCCGCGGCGGGGCGCAGCTGCTGGGCGCACCTCGGGGGCGGAAAAGAGGGGGGTGATGACTAGGGGGGTGCCATTTTGAGCGTCTTGGGTCGATGCCTCGGGCCCTCTTGAGCCGTCTTCGGGGCCACTTGGTGCCCTCTCGGCACGTCTTGGGGCCCTCGTGGGCTCGAACAGATCACGCGCCACCACGCGGGGGAGCCCCGGGGGCACGTGGGACGCCCCGGCAAATTTGAGAATTTGGGGCCCGAGGACTGAGGCTCGGGGGCGGCAAAGGGGGGGTGATGACTAGGGGGGGGTGGATATCATGGCGTGGGCCATGATATTTCCCCCGATCTCATGGCGCCTCTTCTTGCCTCATGACGTCCCTGGCCCCCCCGCTGGGCCGCGCACGTGCCGCCAGTCATGATTTGCACCCCCCCCTCTTGGACACCCCCCTCATTGGCCGCTCCCGAGCACCGAGGGCGGGAAACAGCCGGGGGCCGGCGAGCACGTGAAAAAACCTCCAGCCTCGAAGCCGAAATTGCCCCCGTAGTTCGGGGGTGGAGAGAGCCCCCAACGGTGACACGTCGATGCGTGAAGTGTCCGTGTTCGGTTCTCGAGAGGGCGCCTAGGCCGTTATTTTCCAGGCCTGCGCCCGCCAGGTGTGGGCCTCAGGTCGTTTTCACTAAACCACGTTTTACTCAAGGGGGGTCTGTCCATCCCCGAGTATTGCTGCCCACGATGTGCCCCCGAATTCGATCCCCCCGTACGGTGGGGGCGTTTGTTCAGCAATGTGCCCAGGAGGATTCCGACCCTGGGGTGGTATCATTGGCCAGTCCACGAGTGGAGCTGCACCTGCTTCCAGACGCTGGATTCCTTATCCGACGTTTCCTTCTCCAATACCCTCACCGTGCAGTCAAAGCGCACAGCACGGATGATCAACGCTCGAAGGTTACCCTTGCATCCCTCTCCCCTCGGCCCGTCCTTGGCCACTTTCGCTGGCCGCACCCCGCTCGAAGAGCGTCGGCATGGCCTTGCAAGGCCCTCTGCATGCTTAGCGTGCTGACTGTAACGCTCCCCCTCAGGTTCTGGACGGGCTGTGGCACATGCTGCCCACGGTATGCAGCCTCACCACGAGCATCCGCGTCGCGCAGGCGCTCTCCATGCCGCAGCAGCACTGCCCCCCCTTCTGGCAAGCGGACCTGTCGGGGAATCGCGACGTCGAGGATCAGGAGGGAAAGAAACACACAGACACAATTAATCCTCGATTCCCCAGAAAATATGGGAAAATATGGGAAGTGGGGGGGAAGACAGAAACCCAGAAAATATATGAAAATATGGGGAATCTTTTTATTTGTGTGCATTTATTTGTGTGTCCTGGGGCCCCTTCAGAGGAGCCCGACGGCAACATGGACTCGCGCGACCCTAGCGACGACCGGGCCTGCCTGATGGAGCACGAGGAGGCTGGCCTGGCAGAGTTGGGTCTGAACCGCTCGCAGGAGGAGGCGATCGAGAGCGCGCTCCGTCTGGCCTGCGGCGTGCGCTTGATTCTTCTCGTCTCGCAGGGGCACGCCCGGACAGTCGATCCGTCCGTTCCTCCAGAGTTTCAAGAAGTCTCCTTCCCCCTCCACTTCCTTCCCCAGACCCCCTCGAGTCATGGACAAAAACACGACGCGAGGTTTCTCTCCATTTTCGGCCTCTCCTTACCGGGCCGCGGGACCGTCAAAAAACGACTCGGGATGAGAAACCAGTCCTGGGGAAGGGGTCGAGACCCTTGGAGGTCGACGTCATGAAAAAATCATGACGTCGGTGGTATGGGTCCCCCTCTTTACAACCGTTTCGCTCATTCCGCCGGTATTTTGCCATCGTTGGCGTTTGCGTGCGCGTTCGTGGGCCATGTGGCGCTGCTGGTCGGCGCTGCCTCTTCGGAGGGTTCTCGGGGGGCTCCTGTTGTGGCAGTTTTTGGGGCTCTTGGGGCTTCCTGGGGGCGCCTTGGATGCCTCTTGGGGCTCTCGTGGCGCCTCTTGGGGCCTCTTGGGGCCTCTTGGTGGGCTCTTGGGGGCCGCTCGGGAGCCTGGTGGGGCCCATTGGGGAGCTCCTCGGAGGCCTGGGGAGGAGGCTCTGGGGGCGATTATTTGGAGGCCGAAGGCCTACGGAGAGCTCTTCGGAGGCCTGGGGGGGTGCCCTGGGGGCGATTTTGAAGCCGAACGCTCGACATGTCCGTTGGGGCTCCCCCTCGATGGGGTCTTCCTGAAGGTATATTGGGGCTCTCCAGCGCCGTCTTGGGAGAAATTTGGGCCGTCTTGGAGTCCCCGCGGGCCGTTTGGGGGCTCTTGGAGGCTGAGTAGCCGTCTTGGAGTGATCTAAGGAGCTCATTGGGCCGTCTTACAGCGTCGGCGGCCGAAACGATGAGAACGCTGAACATTTTCAAGGACCAATGCAACATCATTGGTCTTTGCCTCTAGGGGGCTTCTTGGGAGTGGTTTGGTCGGGCGTCTTGGAGTCCTCTCTTCCTCCACCCTGCTCTTCCACCTCCGCTTTCACCGGGCACTCTTGGGACGTAGTGGGGCTGCCTTGGAGGCCCTCATGGGCTGCCTTGAGCCCCTCGTGCTCGTATCTGGCGTCTCGCTTCGTCGGCACGTATTCGGGTACAGTCGGGGCCCTGAAGAAGGAACCCTTTTCGTTGGGGAGGGGCTCCGCGTTCCTTAGTTGTTTCGCAGCTTGCCTTGGATTTCCCTTAGGTTTTCGATACGAAATCGAAGTTCAATTTATGGAAAATAGGGGCCTCGTTCCTTATTTAGGGTTCCTTAGGTCAAGGCCCCGACTGTATTCTCGGGGGGGCCCCAAACGGCGCGGTAACCATAGTGAGCCCCACGGCCGTGCGGTGGCAGACCGCGCGGTTGGATCTCCAGGGACTTCGAGGTCACGGCGCGGTCCATCACCACACGGTGTTGGACCCCCCCCGGCATTCGTGGGTTGCTATGAGGCTATCTTGGGCGCTCTCCGGGCGTTCATAAAGACATTTTCGGGCCTCCTCCTCCTCCTTCTCCTTTTTGGCGAGCCGACAGTCTGTTAGACAATTCTGTTTGACAGTTCCGCGTCGTGTGAACGTACACGAGGCGAGCCGACAGTCTGTTAGACAATTCTTTTTGACAGTTCCGCGTCGTGTGAACGTTTGTTTCACGCGTGTGTGCTGAACTTGGCATGCAGGTAAACAAAACAACAGCAAACAAATGTCGGACAGTCTAGAGCAGCCAGGAGGTTGATGCTTCCCTCAGGCGTCTGTTTTGATGTTGACACGGGCCCCTTCGCAGCTGGAGGCATCAGAGACAAGCAAAACACTACAGACCAAATACAGATACATGTTCGCCAGCGCGGGCTCCAACCATGAAGCCATTGCATCGTGGACGTGGGAGCTGTGTGGTGCAATCTCCGTGGTGCAACCTGTGTTGCGCAAGCTGCGTGGTGCAAGCTATGTGGTGCACGCAATGTGGTGCAACCTCGGCGGCCCCCCAGGCCCGCTGGGCGGCAGCGAAGCGGCCACGAGGCGGCGACGCGGCGAAGCCTCTGCGGACCCCCCAAAGGTGGGCGGCAGCGCGGCGGCCACGGGGCGGCGACGCGGCGACGCCTCGACGAGGCCACCCGGGTGGGCGGTGAGAGGGCGGCCACGAGGCGGCAACGGGCGGCGACGCAGCGACGCCTCGACGAGGCCCCCACTTGGTCTGCAAGGAGGCGGCAGCAAGGCGGCGACGCGCCGAAGCCTCGACGGACACCCCCAATGTGGGCGGCCGCGAGGCGGCCACGGAGCGGCGATGGGGCGGAGCGTCGGCGGACCCCCCCAAGGGGGGCGGCAGCGGGGCGGCCACTGGCGGCGCCGCGGCGAAGCCCCGACGAGCGGCAGCGAGGCGGAAGCGAGCGTCGACGTGGAGGAACCTCGACGGGCCCCCCCCAAAGTAGACTGCAGGGGGGCGGCAACGGAGCGGCGACGCGGCGGAGCCTCGACGGACCCCCCCAGGTTGGCGGCAACGAGGCGGCAACGGGCGGCGACGCGGCGAAGCCTCGGCGGGCCCCCCCAGGTTGGCGGCAGCTGGGCGGCAACGAGGCGACAGCGAACGTTGGCGTGGAGGACTCCCGATAGGCCCCCCCAAAGTAGACTGCAAGGAGGCGGCAACGGACTGCAAGTAGACTGCAAGGAGGCGGCGGACCCCCCGCAAGTTGGCGGTGAGAAGGTTGCAATGGACGGTGATGCGGCGAAGCTTCGGGGGGGGGCCCTAAGTGGGCGGCAACGAGTCGGCAACGGGCGGCGATTCGGCGAAAACTCGACGGACCCAACCAACCATTCAGCAACAGAAGCAAGATTTCCCGAACGCAAGAAGCGTTTGTGAAAACAAGACAGCAGTCCAGCAGAACACTGCACAGCCTTGCGCCCCCAAGGGTGCCGGCAGATACTTGGAGGTCTGCGAGAAGCCATCTTGGATTCACTGGCGGCCTCTCGGGGAGATCTTGGTACACAGGGGTGTCTCCTCTGCTACTTAATTTGCACTTCGATGCGTAGTGCGCGTTTTGTCTTGGAGCTGCGAGGCACGGCTGGCATCGTCTTGTGCCGCCAGGGCGGCCTCGGGGTATCTCTTGGGTCGTGCTTGGGAGCGAAAGCGAGGTCTGAGAGGGGGTGGAGTGGGAGGGGGTCCTCCTCCTCCTCCTCCTCCTCCTCCTCCTCCTCCTCCTCCTCCTCCTCTTCCTCCTCCTCCTCCTCCTCCTCCTCCTCCTCCTCCTCCTCCTCCTCCTTCCCCCCTCCAACTTATGGTGGTGATGGTGGAAAACAGGCGGCCTCTGGTCAAACTTGCAATTTCGGCTTTGGCAGGAGGGGATTTCCGGGGCAGTGGTCTCGCGCGCCCGGTGACCCCAGAGGGGCCGGCGGATTCGAGGACCTCCTGGGACTGGAAAGACGCAGATGCTGGTTGCGAAGCTGGCCTTCCTCCTCCAGCGGGGCCAGCGGTCGTACGTGCACGCCCCCACGAACATCGCCGTGAAGGAGCTGGCGGTGAGGCTGGCGAGGCGGCTGGAGGAGCGCGGCGGGGCCGGGAGCACGCTGCGGCTCGGGATCCTGGCGTCGCAGGGGCGGATGCTGGGGGGGCCCGCCCGCTGGGGCCGCCACGCCGGGGCCAGGGCGGCGGGGCAGCCCGAGCCGCAGGGAGAGGAGCAGGAGGGGGAAAGGAGCACAGACACAAGGAATCGTCGACTCCCAGGAGAAAGTATGGAACCGCTGGGACGTGGGGGGGAGGACGAGAATCCAGAAAATATGGAAAAGCAGGTGGAATCCTGGGAGTTGTGCGTACTTCTTTGTGTGGCCTTGGGCCCCTTGAGAGGACGCCGTCGTGGAGAAGCTCCTGATCGACTACCGCAAGAAGAGCATCAAGCGCATAGCGAAGTACTGGCAGGGGTGCGGGAAGTACCCCTGGCCTGGCAGCGGCGGCAGCGATCTAAAAAAGGCCCTGAGGGCCCTGGGCAGGAGCCAGCGGGGCGGCGCTGCGACGGAGGGCGCCACGGAGGCACTCATGGCCGAGCTGGTCGACACGCTGACCCGCCTGCTGTACACGGTCAGGAGGCAGCTCGAGAGCCTGGAGGGGGAGCTCAGTATCGTTTAACCGATCCCCATCCCCATCCACATCTCGAGCCCCACCGTCTCACCACCTCAGTTGGGGATACGCCCTCCGAAACCCGAAGAGAGCAGCCCATATCCCCAGCCAGGGGGGGAAATCGGCCAGTGGGGCCCAGCCCACGCTGGTGGGGATGGGGATCGGTTGAACGATGATCAGGAGCTGCCTCCGCCCGGCGAGACCGCAGACAGGGCCTTCCAAGACATTGCCGACCGTTTGACGCGTCGTGCCAAGCAGCAACAGCAGGAGTCGGCGGCAAGCGAGGGGGGGGAATGAGAAGGAGAAGGCCTTTGCAGAAGGCGGCGAGGCTTCTCAGAAGCCCCCGCGCCTTCCGAGAGATTGACCGTGCCTTCCGTGAAGGCCAGAAAAACTGTTCTGAAGGCCAGGGGACTTCCGAGCCTTCTGAGAAGAGTTGCCCCTTCTTCCTGCTTTCCCCTAAGCTCACCGCCGAAGGAGCAGAGAAAGAAGGAGGCGGGCGCCAGAGAGGCCTGCGAGGCGATGCAGGCGTCCCTGGCCGAGCTCCAGGAGGCCATGCGCCAGCTGCGGTCCGCCGCGGAGGACCAGGATCGGGAGCTGGTGGTGGAGAAGGTCGCCTCCTGCAGAGCGGCCTTGGACGCGGCCCAGCACAGCGCGCGCGCGGTCCACACGCTCGACTCCCAGGTGCTGAGGTCGATGATTCTGCGCCACTGTATGATGCTATTCTGCACCGTGACGGGCGCGGGGCAGAATCTCGCGAGGCTGCAGGAGATCAAGACCGCCGTCGTGGACGAGGCCTGCATGGTGCTCAGGGGCAGCGATAGGGGGGAATGGGCGAAGGGGGGATGCATCGATCCCCAATCGCCCATTGATCGCCGATGGGGGCCTGACAGCCCCAACCTGCCCAGTAACGTGCGGATCTACTATCGGGGGACTATCGCCAAGTTTTCGGCGATGTATCGCCGATTCCAGGTCGATATGGCCCCACCCCCCCGTACGCCAGTCCCCGGGTGGTTGTCAGATCATAACCCGGCCTCCAGCTGCCGTTCGAGACGGTTCTGGCACCCACGGAGCGCTCTCGGGGAGGCGTAGCCGCTGGAGGGCACCCACGGAACGCTCTCGGTGCCCCCATCAGGTGCGGGAGAGCGAGAACATCATCGTGCTCCGCTCGGAGCTGCAGCGGCTGGTGCTTGTGGGCGACCCGAAGCAGCTACCCGCGGGCTGCAGGGGCGAGGAGGGGCGGCGCGCGCGGTATGACCGCAGCCTCTTCGAGCGCCTCGAGGAGACGGGCGCCGTGAGGCCTCGTCGGAGCGCGCTCGTAGGCCTCTGGGGGCGAGCAGACAACACACACAAACACACACACACACAAACACAAACACAAACACAAACACACACACACACAAACACACACAAACACACACAAACACACACACAAACACACAAGCACACACACAAACACACACACACACACACATTCACACTGTGCGTCGGCGGCTGGGCAGAGGTTGACTGCTCCCGCGGTATGGCAACAGGGGACACGCTGTATGCAAAGTAAGGCCGCAACGCACGGGAGGAGGAGGAGGAGGAGGAGGAGGAGGAGGAGGAGGAGGAGGAGGAGGAGGGTGAGGAGGAGGAGGAGGAGGAGGAGGAGGAGGAGGAGGAGGAGGAGGAACCCCGGCGCGACGGGGAGAGAGGAAGCCGGGCCATTCAAAGCTGCCGGCGGCGGCAGGGGACAGCGCCGCGGGGGGGGCAGCGCCGGCACAGGCCGTACTGAATTGCACGGAGGTGGAGTTGGGAATTGCAGCTGGCGGTGAAGAGAAAACGAAGCGGACCTCAACCCCAGACCGAACACAGCCCACGGAGAGGCTGGAGCACCGATGCCGGCGGGCCGGCGAGGTGCTTGCGAGGAGGGCGGAGGCCAAGCGGGCCAAACCTCAGCAGCAGGCGCTGCGCCGCGGGCGCGAGGGGGCGGAAGCAGAGGGCTAGCAGCCCAGAGCCGGGCGGAGAAGGGCACCGGAGGGGCGGCGCCCAACCCAGCGGACCGAGGCCTGGCCCGGAGAGAAAGCGAAGCGCCGAGACCTGCGGGCCTGCGAGGCGCAACCGCGGGGGCGACGGCCGGGGATGCAACGCCCAGGAAGAGCGAGCCGAAGCGGCCGGAAAAGGGCGGCGGATGCGGGGGGAACCCCGACATCGACAACGCTGGGGAGCGCCGAGACCAGGCGAGGAAAGGCGGCCCAGCGGCACGGAGCGGCACCCAGGGCACGGGGGAAGTGGCACCGCCAAGCGTGGGGGAGCGGCGGGCCCACGCGGGCAGAACGCGGGGGGCGGGGAGCGCCCAGCCCAGACGCCAGCCGGCGGCGGGCAGGAGGGCCGCGCCCAATGGAGGGCGGCAAGCCAGAAGCGAGCGAGTGAACCCAGAGGCAGAGAGCCAGCTGAGGAGCAGCCGACGCGAGCGAAGGGACAAGGAAGCGACAGCGGCCAGACACCGGTGGCTGGTGCTGGGGGAGTGGCCAGAAAAACCAGGCAGAGGGGGGGGGGGGCACAGGCGTCAACGCGAGCGCCGCCCGGCCGGCGCAGCGCGGCAATGGCCGAGGGGTGCCGCAGGCAGGGCCTGGACAAGAGTGGCAGGCAGGTCACGAGCGGGCGGCAAGACCAGCCCAACCCGTGGAGGGCGGCCGGGAGGGGAGCCGGCCGCGCGCCGGCTGAGACGCGGGTGGGCCCCACGCTACGAGCGCGAGAGGAGGCCAGGCCCCGAGCGGGGTGGGCCTGCGAGGGGGCACCGAACAGGTGCACGATGGGAGGCAGCCGCGCGGGCAAGGAAGAGAGGTAGCGGGTAGGCCCCAAGCAAGGGCTGGGGGCCTGCGGGGGGGCACCGAATAATTCTAGACGCTTCGCGTATCCCCACCAGCCCGTCCAGAAACGACGCCCAGGCGAGTAGAGGGTCGTCCTGAGGGGCTTTTCGGCGTCTTGGGTGCCTCGGGGGGGGCCTCTGTGGGCCGTTCGGGATCCTCTTTGGGGCCTCCTGGGGGCCTCTTGGGGCCTCTTGGGGCCATCTTGGGGCCTCTGGGAGCACCTCGGGTGCCTCTGGGGGGTCTCTTGGGGCCTCTTGGGGGTCTCTTGGGAGCCTCCTGGGGGCCTCTTGGGGGGCCTCTTGGGGCCATCTTGGGGCCATCCTGCGGCCTCTTGGGGCATCCTGGGGGCCTCTTGCGGCCATCGTGGAGGAAATCGATCAAAGAAGAGGGGAGCTTTAATCAGCCCTGCCCCCTCAGAAGGCCAACATGGAGCCAAAACCATAGTAAAATCAATGATTTTGGCTTCCTCGCCGAGGCCGTTTTGGACGCTCTGACCGCTCCCCGCCCCTCCTGTCCAGGTCAGTGGGGAGGGGGTAGGGGGAGGGGTAAACCCCTCCCCGAAGGGGAAGACGGAGGGGTGGAAGGGGAAACGCCCTAAACCACCGACGCCCAGAGGGCTGGTGGGATTAGGTGCACGATGTGAGGAGCCACGAGGGCAGGGAGGGCGGCGGCTAGAGAGGGCGCTGCCAGGGCGGGGGTGTCACACTCAGTACAGGACGAGTTCACAGGGTGGCTGCTGAGAGCTACTAGCGGTGGTTGCTGGAAGCTGACCCGCGCTGGCGGGAAGGGTCGTTGCTAGGCCACGACGAGTCCGCTGGCCGCTTCCGTTTCCCGTGCGGCGGGGTAATTACCCTTCCCTTTGCTTTCCGCGAGGTCGTACATAGTTAGGCCTCCGCTTGTTTAGTTCGCGATACCATTCAGCGTTCCAGTCGCCGTGTGTGTGAGTGTGCTTTTCTTCAGCATAGCCTGCGCACGTCGTAGTTGACCTCGCTGAGGTCTTTAACGAAACCTTGGCAGAATTCAGGGTTGCGCCGCTGCGGGTCTTTGGCGAAGCGGGGTCCAGACTCCTGATCACAAACGGCGTTCCACCCAATGGTGGG